TTGATTTGTTCTTGTTCATAATGGACATGTTTTGTCCAAAAAATGGAGGAAGGGAAATAAATTAAATGGTCACACCGCATGCAAATGCAATGCAAGTCCAACCTGGTGTGCTGCCAGTAGCAACCCAAATACCCAAATAAGTTAACGTTGTCTTGACTCAACTATTTGTCCAATTCGCAGCCCAAGATCAGGCACTTCTTTCCTTTTTTTGAATCCCAATCTGAATGACGTACATTATTTCAAGAAAGGATTGGATGGTTGAGTCATTGGAATGTTGAATTGTTGAATGTTTACGTGGTCACACATTGACTAGTTTTCTTTTCATAGAAATCTATAAATTCAGTATGTTGGTTTTTTATTTGTCTCGGGCCTATCTGTTTCCTCCAATCTTATTTTTTCCTAAACTACCTCATTATTTACTAAAAAAATTGCATAATACCACTCTGCCACTTACTAAAATTTTCTAGTCTACCTAAGTTTGGTGTAAACCGTTGAGGTCTCACAATCAATGGAAAATCACTGAAATTCTAAGCGATTTGGCAAGATCGTTATGGAACTCAACGTTCTTGTCATAGATCGTTGGGGTCTCTAGTGATTTATATCCTTTAGGGTTTCAAATTGCAATAACTTTGCTCTTGATTATCCGATTGAGATTGCATAACTTTTTAAGTACTAAAACTTTTATTAGGGATAAATTTCAGAATATATGCTCAAAGTTGAAAATTTGACCTGAAAGTATACCAAAAACTCTAAAATTCGAAATGCCCTCTTACGAAAATTGCCTCATAATAAAAGTTGAAGTCCTTTGTGTTTAATATCACTAACATTGAATCTGGAGGTCCCAGATTCGATTCTATTGGGAATACTTAAACACAAAAGGTAAAAGTAAGCAACAAATTATCAAGAAGAAACAAAATGTTCTACATCAAATCAAGGTAGAAAACAAAGACAACTAGGTGTCACTACAAGAAAACTCGTCTATTGCGACTAAAATATTGCAACAAATGCATCATATATCTCTAAAAATATCAAATACTTGACAATTTTATAAAAAGTCTCTAAAAGTATTAATATCTGTCTCTAGAAGTATCGTATACTTGACAGATATGATATGTGTCTCTATAGCTATTATTTTAAGATTTGATACTATTATTAATTTCTTAATATTTTATTTTAGTTTAGATATATGGTTAGTTTTCAAGACAAATCTATAGGCTTATGCAATCTCTATTTGGAGTTTTCGACGGAATAATAAGAGAAATAATAAAAGGAAATTAAAAATAAAATTCGCAAATAAGGATGCATCCCATTTCAAAACACTAGCAGTGATCTCTAAATTTCCCCGGCCGACTCCATGTCTCCATCTCATCCTGCCTTCTTCTCCATCGTGGCCCTGTTTCTCTCTATCATATTATGTCAATTGCTATACAAGGAATGGGGTGCCCTCACTACATTCTCTCACCGAAGGCGCACATAATGGGAAAGAAGAGATTTCATATGATGCAGCAGTTCCCCCATTCTGAGCTCGGTCTGATGCAGCAGTTCCCCCATTCAAATCACGAAATTCCATATATGTGACCTCATCTTCATCTCCAACAGGATCCATCTATAACTTTCTCCTCAACTGTGTAAGATTATGATGCAATTGAAAAAGGTAATTGTATCCTTTTTAATTGCTTGCTCTAACCCCTTTTGTTGTATATCATCCTGTTGTTGATCTCTTTTTTCATCATGCAATTAATACACCTTCCCCTAAGATTCCCACGTCTCAAATACTTTCAGATATATTTTATCCATCAACGTTTCCACTTGAGTTTGGGTTTGTGGGTTGTCTGGTTTCAATTGGCTGTTGCTTTTCTATTGAGTGTGGGGTTATGTTTTGTTGGTTCATTCTACAGGTGAAGGTGCTTATATATGGAAAACTAATTGCATCTCTAGGCATTATCCTATTTTTAAAGTTGTACTCAGAGAAATACAGATTAACATGGTAATTCCTCGACTTGTGAGGGTTTTTACCTTTATATGCGTATTTTTGGGGTATTGTGATTAGTTTTTATAGGTGGGTATTTCTCAATTTCTTGTTCTCAAAAGCCAAATTTACCCATACCCTGTACTTGCAAGAGTCAACTGTATAATGGAGCTGGTGAAAGATTACACAATTAGCATAAAGTTTTCAAGGCTAGTGACGGGGAGTCAATTGTGCATTATGTTGATAATGGTGATAGTGATTGGGGAAAGGAACCTGAAGGCACAACTAAGGGGCGTTTATAAAGTTATTGTGTTGTTCAAATTCATAATTTTGTTGATTATCATTGTACTATAGTTTTTATCCATTTAGAAACATTTCTGATGTAAGCACCAAAATTGATTGGCTTCAATAAATGGAAAAAAATGGTGGATTTCATAGATTTATTTTGTTTGTACTAATAGTAATGAAATTGACAAAATATACGGTTATGTTTTTAATTTCAATTAGAATTGAATTGGTAAGTAAATAAGTTGTAGTCGATTATGCTTAAGAAATTTTTTGAGACAAATATAATAGTCTCGAATGACTAAGATTAAGAACAAAACAAATTTACTCTAAAAGTCAAATTGGTGACAAATATTTATGTCGGGAAAATCTAATATATAAACAAAAGAATATGTCTCTAAAGGTGAAATTGGAGACAAATATTTATATCTTTAAATGTGCATATAGAGACTAAATAATCGTCTCTAAAAAAGTCTTTGGAGACTAAAATATTAGATGTAGTTTTCCCAATCAGTAACAAATAATATTTGTCTCTATAAGGCTATTGCAACTGCTCTAGAGGAGACAAATATGGTATATGCATCTAAAGAAGTATAGAGACAAATGAGTATTCAATAGAGACACATTTTCATCGTCTCTATAGTCCATTTTTCTTGTAGTGTGTTCTTGGCCATTAATGGGCTGGTTAGTTAGACTTCGCGCTACCTGTCTCCTTTCTCAGTCAACAAGTGAGGACTGAAAGAGTTTCTACAGATTGGAGAAAGAGATTGAGACGAAGTATACGATGAATTGAACTTATGAATTCATATATATATAAATTCGTAAGTTTGTGAATTCAAGTGATATTTAAAATTAAATAAAAAAAATGACCATAATAACTTTCTTTCACGAGAACATACTTTCTCTCATTAACGTCATGCTACCCGTCCTTATTAGTAGGGGTGGCTATACGGTCCGGTCCGGTTAAATTGGCCCAAATTGATCCGGTCCAGTCTGGTTTTTTTGAAAATATAAGGACCGAAGATTGGATTGGATACAGTCCGGTCTTGATCCGGTCCGGTCTTGACCCGATCCGGTCCCAATTCGGTCTTGATTTTATATTGAGATTGTGGGAATTTGAGTGGCATAAGGCCTAAAAGGGTGAGGAGTTGGTTAAGTTTTGTACTAAGTGCAAAGGTTTGTGACCATTTATGCAAATTACCCTTAAGTTTTGGGTGTTGAGCTCTCTTATCCGGTCTTTATCCGGTTTTTTACCTCAAATCTAAGCCCAAAGATTGGATTGGATTGTTTACTATCCAGTCCCGGTCCGGTCTCGGTCCGGGTTATACGGTCCGGTTTCCGGTTTTTCATCCGGTCCCGGTCCAAATAGCCAGCCCTACTTATTAGAACACTATATAAGTAGGAGTGAAATCTTTGATCATAGAACGTCTTTAGAAACTCGATTCAATGGTGTAAGAGATCGCTTCCAGCATGCTGACTTGATTGATCCGGTATGCCTCGTCCTCTATCTCATTCTTAGCTTGCATTGGCTGCACATAATGATCACCAAAAACCAGAACTCAAATAGTTACTCATAACGAACATTGAAAGTTTATTCATGATCATGATTGTGGATTTTCGGAAGGTCTTATCGAGAGACTTATCGAGAGAGTGGTATCAATTATAATGTAATGGTATTGCTTTTTTTTTATTGGTATATATGTATTTTTTTCGTATTGATATTAATTTTAGTTGTATTATTTTTTCGCATTGGTATTGATTATAATGTAATTGTATTGCTTTTTTGTATTAATATTATCATACTGTTCATGTATTGGTATTGGTTATAAATATGCAATGATATTGGTTAATAAATAATATATGCTATGGACATTGGTTAATAAATAATATATGCTATGGACCTATGGTAGTGGTAGCTAGTGATTTTGTGTAGAGTGCAGTGGTAGCATGTTTTTGTGTTTTGGTAATGATTTCTTGTTTTATTTCTATAATGGTGTTGAATATTTTTTTTTACTTGAAGTGGTAGTATTTATTTAATGGATTGATATTGACTTCTTATTTTACTTTTGTAGTGGTATTAATTCGGTTAAACGAAAATAAGGAAAAGATTGAGAAAACAAAAAAAGAGTGGTGACGAGAGATCTGCAAAGTGAGAGAAAGAGTTAGAATTTTAATTAATATTTTTTTCATAAAATATAATTTATCAAAAAATAATTAATAAATAATATTTTTAATACCCAATTTGCACTTAGTAGTAATGGTGACTCTTACTATAGAGTATTCACCATAACCACTCTCCAACTTGACAAATCTTGCGTATAATAAAAACAAATATAGCATAAAATGGAGAGCATGTAGTTTGATACCTTTTGTACGTATCCGGTTGTATTATTAAGCATCCATATCAACTGTATTTGGTTAATTAATTGAATGGTAGGCTGACATAAGTTTTCTACCTCTACTGCTACTGTAAAGAAATGGTAAATTTGATTAAATATTGCCTCCTATACGTAATTAATTATCTCATTAATGTATTACGTGCATGCAGGAACCAAGTGATCTGTCCGATTGGTGGGCTAGCTTTTCTTAAATACTTATATCATATGTGGCTATGTGAGTGGTGGCCGCTGGGGTCTTGCTTTCAAACCCTAGCCTTTGCTATATATAGATGGAGTCGAAACTATAACAGCCCATTCATATTACCATTATCATTATTACTGCTACTGCTACCATTACTAATCTTATTATGTCTTCTTCATCATCACTACCACTTCATCAGTCAGCTGCTGCGGCGGCAGCGGCCCATCAGAAGAAGGCAACCTCCGGCGCAGCGGCGGATTGTGTCTCGTCAGTAAGCTTTCCTGGCACAGTCTGGGGCGATGGCTTCCTCGACAAAATTGATATGTCTTTCCAGGTTAATTAAGTTATATGGGGTTTTTTTTTTTTTTTGCCATAGAGTTATATGGGTTTTATTAGTAGTTGTTTTTGGTGTATGTTATTTCCTAATAATATTGATCAAGTTGCAGGAAAGAGTCCCTACTTTTCCGGAGAAAATTAAAGTTAGAAATAGCACCTTAACTTCTTGAGCAACTATAAAATAAACGCAGTTCACATCTTTTTGCACAAAGTTCAAAAAAGTGTGTTCAATGTTTAGATGAACTACGAGATAGATCTACATTAAATTATATACCTACTCTTATTGAGATTCAGTCAAACCTCCAAAATTATGACTATGGCTATAAGTTGCAGAGAAAAAAAAAACTTAACAAGTGGTGTCGAGTTGTGATTTTTGCGAACCCCTCTGTCATCTTCACCTCCTATTTTACAGACACCAGAAGTAACTGCGTCGAGAAACTGCTTCACTGACATAGAGTGACGATTACCCTCTCGACTGCTCCGATCATGCCCTGACTACACCAACGGAGGCGTATGCCGATCACCCCCCCTGATCATACTAGAGGGTGATCACCTCATGCACGGGCGTAGCCAGAATTTCATTCAAGGGGGTGCATTAAAACGGATAACATAAAATAATTTTTGACAATAATCCATTATAAAGTTTCATGTTTCATATTACCAAATTATTTTAAAACTACATAATTATTCAAATTATTAAGTTTGCTCTTAATGTTATTTCACCATATCATCATTCACAATTTTCTTTCATTCTATTAGATTGGTCGAGTATTCCATTGCAGAAAATAGTCTACTAATATGTGTATTGACAATAGGTAGTAGCAAATTAAACCTAATTTCAGAAGCAAATACATTGATAGAAACCAAATTTTCTCTTCCGACGATCGTTGTCGTACAAATTTATTGATTTTCTATAATAATTCACACGTCATAACCATTTTATTAAACTGCATTAATGCAGATATTAGTAGTTTAAATTAATTTATATAATCAATCATGGCTGGATACTAAAAATTTGCGAATTAACAATAAGATTTTGGGTTCATTGTTCATTATTAGTACTACTATTATTTTTTATTTTTTTTTTTGTGGTTATCCAAATCAAGGGTGTGCCATTGCACCCCCTAATAAGGAGCTAGCTCCGCACCTGACCTCATGGGGGTGGTATGATGATGACCCCCTCCCCCCTCAACTATACCATGGTGGTGGGAGTTTTCTTACCATATGCCTCATCTTAATTGTTTTTAATTATTAAAATTAGATTGACCTTATAAAATCATAATCTCTCATATGTAATCGATGTAGTACAAAGTGAGATTTTTAGTGATAAACAGTCACAGACGGCTAATGAGCTTGAAATATAAACAAAAGTCTACTCACTATACTAGCTTTGTACCCAGCCATTGGCCGATAGTTTAAAGTTCATACTTATTTACTATTATAATTATCTATTTTTTATAGTTAATATCTTATGATGATAAAATTTATACACAAAAATCTGCTTACTATATGTGCGCACAGATCTCCACCCATGCATGTTGTTTTTTACTTTGAATAACTTGTGAGATAATTTATCAAGAATAACAAACAATTTAGACCCAAAAATAATTTTAAATCCACTAATTCTCAGGCGAAAGACAGATACCCAAACCATGAAATCCTGAAAGAAGAAGTGAGGAAGATGTTGACAAATGAAGTAAAAAGTACTGGAGATGAAGAGGCAATAATTGCCGACAAGCTGCGGCTGGTAGATGCAGTTCAACGATTAGGTATTGGGTATCATTTTGAGCCAGAGATTGAAAAATCACTTGAAAAAGTATACGATATGGGAGAAGACTTATTCACCAACATCGATGACAAAGGCACGGATCTCCACCATGCAGCTCTTCGGTTTCGACTCCTCAGACAACAAGGATTTCCTGCTTCGCAGGGTACGTATATATGTATAGTTGATTTATTAGTTGTACTTGGTATATGTACATTGATCTCGGATTCTCACGATCCTTTGTTATATGTACACACACAAGCGTACGAGTAGATGGGTTTAGAAAGTTGAAGAACAGTGAAGGGAGGTTCAAGGAATGGGTGTCAAGGGATATGCAAGGACTGTTGAGCTTGTACGAGGCAGCACACTTGGCATTCAATGGAGAAGATATATTGGATGAAGCCCTAATCTTTGCGACCAAGAACCTTAAGTCGCCATCCATCATCCAACACAATACCAACCCTAATTCATTCCAAAAGCAAATCGACTTTGCTCTCCGCTTTCCTGCTTGGAAATGTGTTCCAAGATCACTTGCCAGGCACTCCATAGATTTTTATTCCGAGGATACTTCGCAGAATCAAAAGCTTCTCATGTTTGCAAAGATGGATTTCAACATGGTCCAGAACTTGCATCAGCAGGAGCTCTATGAAATCTCTGGGTGAGTTAGTTAGAGTGTTAGCGGACTAGCTAATATTATATTACGGAATACTACTAATCACCTTAATGGCTTGTTTGCTTTGATTTTGTCATCTATGCATACAGTTGGTGGAGAAGTTTTGATTTGGCGACCAACTTTCCATTTGCAAGAGAAAGGCTTGTAGAGAGTTATTACTGGAATGTTTGCGTTTACTTTGAGCCTAAATATCGATTGGCAAGAATTATAAACACCAAGATATATCGTACGTTGTCAATCTTAGATGACACGTGTGATAACTTTGCTACATATGAAGAGCTTCAGGCCCTATCGGAAGCTATTGAAAGGTTCTAATTACCGCATAATTCTTACATATAATGTGTGTATTCGATTGATTAATTAGACATAATGGAGCTTGCTTTTTTCTTAATAATATTTATATATATTGATAGTGTTTAATGTGTATGTACATGCATATTTCTTTCAGGATGAATGTTAGGGCTCTTCAAGAACTACCCTATAGGATGAAGAAAACTTATCGTCTCATCCTTGATCTGTATGATGAAGTCGAGAGTGAAATTGGAAAATCGGGACCCACTTTCCCCGTCGATTATGCAAAGGGCGAGGTAATACACTAATAAATAAGCTAGCATATATGTGCCGCACGCATATAGTATACGCAGAGTTACGATTTGATGTATATCGACGGATCAAAACACCAATTTTTATTTATTTATTATGAAATCGACCTTAGAAATCCAATCCGGAGTTTACCATTAAAGTATAATACCATTACCATTAAAGTATAGTGCCTTTTTTTTGTGCATGTGGTAGCTCAAGAAATTGTGCCGAGCCTACTTACTTGAGATTCGGTGGCGCGCTGAAAGCAAGGTTCCAACACTGGAAGAGTACATGATCACCGCACACATCAGCTGCGCTATGTCCATAACGGCCACCTCGAATTTCATTGGCATGGGACCAGAAATAGCCATCAGGGAGGCTTTTGAATGGGTGACTAACGAATCCAAGCTGATGAAAGCTTGCTCTGTGATTGGTAGGCTTCAAAATGACATTTTCTCTCACGAGGTAAATCATTAATTATTTACATCTTGTATATAGTTTCATGAACTTCACAAACAAATTACCGAAGTACCGGAGTGCATCTCATAGCTACTAGCTAGCTAGTAAATAGTAACTACTATTGTGGTTTTGCACATGCAGTGTGAGCAAAACAGAAGTCATCCTGCTTCGGCCGTCGAATGCTACATGAAGCAACATGGAGCGACGGAGGAAGAAGCAGTTGAATTCCTTTGGAAGAAGATTCACAACGCCTGGAAAGACATCGCCGAAGAGTATCAGAAACCAACTCCATTGCCGGTAGCTCTTACAGATCGTCTCCTCAATTTGGCGCGTTCCTTCAACTTGTTCTATGAAAATGGTGATGGCTACACCAACTCCCACCTCGTGAAGGATCACCTCACCTCAATGCTCATCGACCCTGTGCCCCTTTGAAGAAACCATTAAATGTTCGAATAATGCCCTAGCTAGCTTGTGCTCATGGTTCACAGATCACAGCTAGCTCTCTCTGCTGCTTCATTTGCTTTTCTGTATGTACGCCTGTTATGTTTCTTCCTCTTCTTGTTTTGTTGTTGCTGCTGCTGCTGCTGTTGTTGTTTCATGCTTCCTGTCCTGGACGCCCGGTTATCACAGTTATTGAAATTGTTTCCAATTTTCCTTTTCTTTCTTTTAATCAATAAAAAATTATATTGTTAATCATGGATCATATTTACTGACATACCTCTCTAAAATGAAAGTCGATTCATATGGGATTGAGGTTTACACACTGATATAATAGATCTGGGGTCATCGAGATTCAAGCAGGAGACATCTCGACCACAGAAGATTTTGATATCATATTAAAAACCAATTGGTTCAATAAATTAAATTATTAAGACAAATTCTATAAATCATATATCATTTCCTAACACTTACATCTAAACCTTAACTGCATTGTAGCTTCATCCAAAATGTCCTTAGCTAATTGGTATAAGGTTCAGCTCAATTCTTGAGCATTTTCACGATGTTCTGAGTTATTCTAATTAATTATGTTACTGATAAAAATATTAAAAATTCTTATGTATTTACATTGTGATAAACTCGGTAAATGAACATGCAAACATTTCTCATGTTTGCATGTTCATAACGCCTAAGTGATGCGCAGGCAAAAATAGGCATGATTATGCGGTGTGAGGCATTAAAAAGCTAAGTGAGTAATGCTTAATTGCACAAGTAGATCATGGATTAAAAGAATTGTAGCTAATCTTTCTAAAACGACGTCATTCCTAGCTGCCCTATATTCAATGCATCCTTCACTCATTCCTCGATTTGAAATTTCAATTTTAGGTCATGACTTACTTTGGTTAATGTTGAGAGTTATCTAAGTTATTAACATTTGAAATTGAACTAAAATAAAAACGTGCTATAAAATTTGTACTTCTACTAAAACCCGCTACTTTTGCTAAAACGCGTAGGTATTGCCTAACAGTGGCCGAACGCCTTCTTGAACCTTGATATTATATAGAGATATAGGGGTCAGACTGGTGTACTCCTGGAGTATACTATACTCCGGGTACTCCTAGTGAGACATCTCCATCTAGACCATGAATTTAACCGAGTTTGGGATATGATACTATACCCTGACGGCCTGACCTATAATGAATAGACTCCAGGCCTTGATTCTCTCAACTGATCAAGTCCGAAGTTCAATTTAATGGAAAACAATAATTGACCATTGAAATTGATTGGAGCTGATCATCAAATCACATCTAACAGTCAGATCACCACCTGGAGTACACTAAAGTAAACCAGACTTTACCATGGATATAGATATTACTTTTATTGATTAATCAATTCCATGACATGAACCGCCATTGGCAAGTTACAACATGACTCAAACCATTAACTAAAAAACGCTTGAAAACTGCAACAAATATAGTAAAAAGCTCTATGAATGCAAACCATGCATGCATGCAAGCATCCATCCATGATCCATATATATGGCTCTCCTCCACCGCCTTCTTTATTTAGTACTACTCCAAGCACCGCTTCTCAAACGCCATGTCGTCGTCTACAACTCCCCTCGAAACGGCGAGGCAGTAGGATGCCCTTCATCATGGCAACAGAGGAAAGTGGTGTACTTCTCCATATACCTATGACACTCAGGACACTTCATCCCTTCAGGAATCCTCCCTGCAGTGTTGGGGAACTCGAACCTGCAACAAGGGTAAGTCACCCCATGGACCTTCTTGTGATGATCGTCGTACGCCAGATCGAAACCCTTCACCGGAATCTCTTCCTTCCACAGATCGTACTCCACCAGAGTCGTCAGCACCGTGTTGCCATGTCCATTCGATATGATGTTGGACCCTTTGCTCAGCACAGCCCACCCTCCTTCCTTGTCGTAGCTCAGCAGCTTCTTGATCTCCAGCATCATCGGGTCATGGTCGTCGAGCTTCCCTTGCTGGATCTTGCTGAACAGCATGCTCTCGAGGCGCGTCCAGAAGAACCAGATCATGGTCGGGTCCTGCCAGAAGTAGCTCAGCTTCTCCACGGTGATGGTGGCCAGGACGCGGCGTACGAGCTCTTTCTTCGTGCTCTTCCCCACGTAGGCCATCTCCAGAGGGATCCGCGAGGCTAATGCGACGGCCCGGGCTGTGTTGGTGAACTTCCGGACCCATTCTACGTCGTCTCCGCCGTAGAGGAAGATGTACTTGCCGTCCTTGATCTGAATTTTTGGAAACAGGGGAAAAAACAGAGGAGAAAACAGAGGAGAAAACAGAGGAATTTTCAGATTTTAGCTTTGCTTTAGAGTTAGGAAACAGGGGAGAAAACAGAGGAATTTTCAGATTTGAGCTTTGCTTTGCAGTTTGGAAACAGGGGAGAAAAACAGAGGAAATGTCAAATTTGAGCTTTGGTTTGGAGTTGGTTCTTTATATGTTTTTTTTTTTTTTTTCATTTCCTTACCCAATTGAGGATCATTGGGTCAATCCCATTGACCAAGAGCTCAAGCCTCCATGCCTCTTCCCTCCACAGGGACTCCTCCCTCAAGCTGGTGAAAGGGAAAGCATTGCTGCCCCAAATCCACATCATGTGGATGGCATTGGGGGAGACAACCCTACCTTGTGGATCAAGCACCACCAAGATAGCCTTGTTCCTGAAGTGCCACTTCTCCCTGATGTACCTGACCACCGCCTTCTCGATCACGCTAGGGTGGCTGACGGTGTACCAGGGCATCGTAGACTGCAAGGTCTCGAACTGCTTGTGCATCGCCTCGGTCCACACGATCGATGGGTCCACGACGGGGATCCAGATCACCTCGTACTGGCTGTCCAGCCTCGTCGTGTGGATCCTCGACTCGTTGTAGATCTGCTCAAGGATCGAGAGCTCGTCGTGGGAGATGTTGAGGTCTGAGATCAGGAGGAGGACGTTCTTTCTCCTTAGCACCTCGAGGGTAACCTGTTCCAGACCATGTATCATTGCCTTCCTGAAAAGTTTCATTTTTTAGCTATAGAAAATTTTCAGAGGCCAAAAGTGGAAGAAACCTTTCTCTTGGTAGAACCATCCACTATTGGCATAGGGTCATCCCTTGCATGAATTAGGGCCTTCAGAATCTTCATGTTGTCAATGTGGGTCATTTCAAATAGCTCCACCAGCATCCTGAATGTCTCCACATTCTTCTTGTCATCTATGATCAATGTTGGATATAAATTATCATCGAAATACTACGTACAATCCAAAATGCAGGTGAAATCAAATCTCATGATCATAAAATTTTATCATATGATCGAAATTCGTTCGTAAAGTGCAAAATTCTATAAGCAAGAACACTGATTTTAACTAGCTTGAATGTTGTAATCACTTCTTAGTTCTTAGTATCTAATTGAATTATTTCCCTGTTTTCATCTGATGCCTTGTTGTACTCAAGGTAAAGGCCCAAACCTATGTGTTGGTAGCAACTTCCCAATTGTTGCTTCAAATGGTCACAAATGTTGGTCAGCTTGTGTTCAAGAGAAGACAGCTCCCATGCCTCAGTTGTTGAAAGTGCATATCTACAAAACCAAGTCCAGATCAGTGCACAAAAATTCCATTTCAAACCCATTCGTAGTTAGCTCAACCACAATGACAAGTGATTCAAGCCATATGGTCTGACTTATATAGCCCTCGTGAATGGTATTCTCCATAATAACGCTAGGATCACACCATTCAACTAACAATGAACCAATGTGCTAGAAACATTACTTACTCGTGTCCCATGGTAGTGAGAAGAGTGATCTGATTAGCACAAGCCACAACACTCCTAATGGTCCAATAAACAGCAGTTGGGATATGGGTCATGGCCTGGGTCAAAGCTGGCACATCCTCAGAGATGTAACTAGGTGGCAGCTCCTTGAACTGAACCATACACCTGGTCACTTCCACCATGGCCTTGATGAGCTTGTTGAGTGCATCGAACCTCGGCTTCAGCGGGCCGGAATGCTCCATGATCATGGGCAGCTGCCTCAGTGTGGCCATGGCCTTTGCAAGCTGGTTTGATGAGTAGATCTGTGCAAGGAGCCAGAACTCTCCATAGTGGAGTGCAAAAGCTGCTAGAGTTAGGACCAGCTTGGCATCCCATGGGAAGCTTGCTAGTGTCTCGAAGATGGCCACTGTTGTTGAATGGGCATCTGCTCCTCCTAGTGCCTTGTATGCAATCTGGAGAATTTTTGTATGGAAAGTTAGACAAAAAAAATATACTTTCATATGCAACTGACCAATTGGGGTGATCTTCAGATTTGACATTAACCATGCATAATCAAGAACACTATATAAGTAGAAGTGAAAGCTTTGAGCAGAGATGATCTAACTGCGAACCTCTTTCGAAACTCGATCAATGGTGTAAGAGAGTGCTTCCAACATGCTAACTTGATTGATCTGGTATGCCTTGTCCTCTATCTCATTCTTCGCTTGCATTGGCTGCACATAACCACCAAAATCACAGCTCAGATAGTTACTCATAAAGAAGATCGAGAGTTTGTGCATCATGTCGTGGATTTTCAGAAAGTCTTACCGAGAGAGTGGTATCAACTTGCAGAGTTGCACGGTTGAGAATGTCTTCCACAAGAACCAGCAAAGGCTTCACATCAACTTCCCTGCCATCAGGTGCATGAGTGGCTACAATCTGCTTCATCATCACATTGTCGTCGCTCATCATCATCATGTTGCCACCACCACGGTGCTGCTGTTGTTCTCCATAACCACCACCACCACCTCTCATTAGCTGCCTGCTTGGAGGAGGCATGGGAGCTCTTGGAGGTGGGAGTGCTTTTTGAGGTGGGAGTGATCCTCTGAAATCCATGGTGATGAGCAAGGGAAAAGAAGGCTGGTTTGATGAAGAGATAGTAAGAATGAGTGAGTATGGTGATGATGCAAACTGGTTTTTTGGCTGCAATTTATAGCAGTGTTTGAGAAAGGAA